TAGACCAAGTCTAGCCCAGGGAACAAGATCATCACACTCTGTGGTTTAAACCACATGAATCATCCTTGCCCTTGTACCCAAAGGGTGACTGATGTGTATGATCCCGTAACTCGGTGTCATCAATCACTCAAGTTTAGGGGGGTTATTAAATTGGGAGTTTCCCAAGTTCTTCCTGCAAGCCTTGGAATGTATTTTCCCGATCTTGAATATTTTGCATCTAATTTGAAGGCTAGTCCCAACATCTGAGAATTTTACCTTAAAACCCTAACTCGCTACTGACTCAGTGCAAAGTCTGCCAAAATCTATCACTTACTCTTCTTCACTGTTCACATAATGCTTCAGGACAAAATGTCCTGAAATCCACTAATCCACCGCCTTGTAGAGATGGATTTTGAGGGACTTGGTACTCATGGCTTGCGTACCAAAATTTTCCCCTGAATAGCCAGTACTTTTATCATGGAATTACTTTTGAATAATTTGGCTTTCAGGGAGCATCTTAAAAATGGAGGGTTGGAATTCGTAGAATGTTCACTCAGTTGACTGAACATCAGCTATTCAAAATGTTTTTGTCTTTTGGAACAGCCCAGGAATTCCAAGGGTACCAGTGTGGAAATGCTGGTGATGAAAGCACATTATGGACACTTCGCCCATGCATAAGTACCCCCTCTGTGGTGAAAAATTCCGAAAGAACAGTCAGTATTGAAGGACCATTGGGGACCATTTTGGCTTCCGCACATTGGTTCAGTAGATTAACCCGAACCTTCCCAAATCCTCCAAAATCGTCTTGGCAAAATGGATGATTTTGCAGGATTGAGGCTACTGTATTTTGGCAAAAGTGTGTGGCTGATTTCGGAGGATGCACTTATGCAAGGTCTGAGGCCGGACCTTGTGTTGTTTATGCTCACTCGTGCATAACTGTAGGCCTAGATTATACTTGAAATCCTCTGCACTGCTCCAGGATGTCACTGGCTGTGCCTAACATATTGACTGTCATTGCCGGAGGATTTTGCAAGATTTGAGGCAGTGGTCACCCCTCTAACTTCCAAGGACCACATTCAAGAAATAACGATGATTTTGCAGGATTGAGGCTGTATTTTACACGGAGGCAGTTGGAGGATTTTGCAGGATTGAGGCAGTGGTCACCCCTCCAACCAAGGACCACATTCAAGAAATACCGGATGAATTTGCAGGATTGAGGCTGTATGCTTTTTTTACATGCAGAGGCAGTTGGAGGATTTTACAGCATTGAGGTTGCATCCTATAGCAGAAATACCTGGGGAGTTAGGGTTAAATGAATGATGAACAGGGGATGAACCAATGCAGTGTCCTTCAGAGATGCTGTCATTGTCAGATTACACAGCGCCCTCTTTTGTCCACGCATGGTTCCATTTCGTACCGTGCTCCAATATCAAGACATTAAACTCATGCACCGGAATGGAATGTTCCAAATTTAGAAGTAACATACTTAGATGATCCCTAAGAGAGTAATCATGGAGTGATCGCTTAGCAGGATTTTTCATAAGCGAGTTTTCTCGAAATTGAACTCTGGGCTGAGGTCTTAAATCAGTACCTCCCTCTTAGTTTATGACCGGTCTGTTGACACGCCGGAAACCAAAGTTCACCAAAACAATGAAGATTTGATATCTGCCATTATATATTGGCCAATTCAACTTGTTCAGTATAGTGGCGGGTTTGGGATAGTCTTTACAATACTGAATAATTGTCTTATCACGAGATAGCTGAACTTCTTCAAAAGTTTAAATCAACACGGATTGTATAACCAGATAAACTTGGCTGGTTGATAAAAGACATTGTAATGTTTTTGATTAGCTACTGGCATGTTTCTCTGTCTGTCTGTATGAAGTCATTTCTAACGTTACATTTGTGCAATTCTGTTTGTCAGTCAAGCTAAATGTGTGTCTGTTAGGCCAAAAATAAAAATACTCGGTCTCTGGTCAGGGCGCGCGTCGATTTTAATCATGCACGTCAACCTTTTTCCCCCTACAAATTAACACGGAAGCTACAACAGCGCCCTTTATTGCTGCACCTCCTCAAATGTTTTCATACCAAGGAGCACAAAGGAATGGGGAAATTGCACCAAAACAAATGATAAAGGGCACCAAGGCAAATTATGAAGGACACCAATGTACCGGTATGATGAGGACACAAAAAAGCAAAATAGTACCCTTGTCTGTACAATTCAAGCTTGAAAAAAAAAAAAAAAAAAACACCAAAAAACCCCCCCAAAAACGCGTTGCCGCATCAATTCCGGAACTTCGGTCTGACCAGAGACCGATATTTATTTTTTTGGCCTTAGCACAAGTTAGTCCCAATGTTTTGATTTAATAGCCCTCCTATGCAAACATACATTCAATCAAGTGGCTGTTTTCAACAGCTAAGAGCTCCCAGCGTACACTGGCTGTTACTGTTTACTAGGTACATGTATGTACTTGCTACAGCGGAATCGACCTTGACATTGACACTGTCCTTAACTAAGATGTCACATGGAAGTCCGATGAAGCTGTCAAATGTAAGCTCGGAAAGGGATGTTGCCCATTAAGTAATTAACACAAGATGCTTAATGGATTAATGACACATATGGCTTCGCATGCTATGTCAATCACAGCTTTGAGAAAAAGGTTTAGTAACGAACAAGAAGGAAAATGATTAATTAGTCTGTGAGATGTGATTAATACAAAATGTGGGTTTTGTCAAGCTCGGAATTTTAAAGCAGTTTTCAAAACTTGTGTTTTGCCTGTTTATCTTCAAAATGAAAAATCAAGTTTCTGAGATGTTACTGGGCCATTTTAAGAAATTGTCAAAGTTTCATATTTGCCAAATACTAAACCGTTGATCATTCAAACCAGAAGGAAAATGCACATAATAGATTGGGCATATATTCAACCTTTTTAAGCAATTAAAAAATTTTTTTTTTATTGTTTTTAATATGAAAACATACATGTACATGTAGGATTAGCGCTTTAAAACAATTACAGACATTTTCTGTGGTTTGGGATTTTTTTTCTTGTGTGTGTGTGTGTGTTTTTTTTTTTTTTATAATACAAAACTTTGGTATTTGAATATTGTACAAGAAAAGCATGGTCACCCAAGTATTGTAGCACCCCGCTGTGATATCCACTTGATGACCACTGGAATGCAACCCGCCTTAAGTTCTGGGGGGCATTTGACCTCTTTGGACCAAGTTTATCCACCGACCCATACCCTCAATGCAGTGAAAGTTCCATGGTAATCACCAACAATAGGATGACCTCAGTTGAATATTCCTGTCTAACAAGCAAGCCTGAACTGTCCGAATTTCATTACAAAAATCAAGCTACAAAACCCCTGGGGTGATAAGTATTAACTTTGGCCTGGTCTGACCTTCACTGCACTGAATAGTGTATCACGCTGGCGCTTAGTGTTTTACAATAAAATTATCAACTTAGGCCAAAACGAAAAAGACTCCGGTTTCTGGTCTGCGTGCTCGTCGCCGTAGCCATGCGCGTCGGCAAAATTAAAAAGTTTTTTTTTTCAATGTAAGATGATGTCTCAAAACTGCCAAACTCACTGGTTTGACTGGAATCCTGCTGCTGCACAATTTTAACATGTTTTTAGATGGGGTTACGATCGAGTATTACTTTATGTGGCCTCTCTCGGCTATTTTGCACTGAATTTAGTCGGGCACCATTTGCAGTCATCAGCAGACATTTGAAGAAAGAAAAAAAAAAAAAAAAAAAAAAAGCTGCGTCGCTGCACCACTTTGGGGCAAGCTCCACACCAGAAACTGAAGACTTTTTTGGGGGGCCTTAGCAAAAGCAGTATATAAATATTAATCAAGTAATTTGTAGGTTCCTATTTGTCACTCTATTCTCAGCATTAGGGCTGTTCATTTTCGATATTTAGTATTTGATTACTCAAAACTGCGTTTGACCGAATATTTGGATATTCGAAACTGCGAGCTGCAACTGTGTGCTGCGCTGGTAAAAAGTTGCGCAAAGAGCGCGCCAGTTAAAATTGGCCTGCGGCGATCGATAGGGGGCACTGGAGTGTTTTGCAGTAAATATTTTATAACTCTGTAAGGGTTTGAACCTGCGAAAAGGATGTGAACAATGAACCGCCCTTGACAAAAGACAAACAAGTACCAAGTGGTACAACCCACAGCTGCCGGGTAACGTGTGAAGATGCCTTTAATTCGGCACTGTCAGTGCATCCGAATGAGGCGTGATCTATAATGCCAAAATATGCAAATTAGACACATGCTCATCAGTGTTTTCAAAACCGGTCTTCGAATGCAAAGTTGTAATACTCGAGTTGCATAAATACAGTATATGGCCGAGTAAAGTGTCCACCAACCAACCAACCAACCCACCCACCCACCCACCCACCAACATAAGCATCTCAAGCCCACGGCGTGTTTCACACCCGCCGTGGGAAAAAGTGGACTTGACAACAAAGCTATTCAAATTTTCGGTTGATAATCAAATATTTGAGTGTTTGATATATTTGGGACAGCCCTACTCAACAGATTTGGAAGTTTCACAAGTTTGCAAATTGGCTTTAGTGTAGGTTGTCTGATTTTGGAGGTGTGGGTTAGATTATGAGCTCAAACTCACTCAAACTATGTAAGACTTCAGTGTGAATGTCAAGTGTTGCTCAGGTCAGATCCAGCATCTTTAACACATCTTTCAAGGTAATTCTGTGAACATTCTGTGAACATTTTGGGAAGTCAAGTTGGCGTAGCGGTACTTTCCTGCCAGATTCCGTGGGGTTTCCCCAGAATATTCTTCTGGGCTTTTCCTCTCACCTCTAAAACTGTAATTTCTTTTCATTGTCTTCTCTCCACAGGTTTCTTCAGGCTTTCGAGCTACAGTGCCTCGGGCGCTTTTGAGGAATCCTTGGTTTCATTACCAGAAAGGATTAATAATAATAATAATACTAAATTATGCAAATTGTTAGGCTGCAAATCTTAACTGACAGTGTTTCTCTTGTTTCAATTTCAGCTCACGCCACAAAACAGACCGGTGGCGGTCTTCAAATCCAGAACGTCGTCCTCACCGGCTGCGCCAGTTGCCTATGCAGTCAGACCAATACCACAGCATCATCTGACAGTAAGTATTGGGGGGGGGGGGTAGGGCATGGGTGTTTGATTCAGAAAAAGGTGAAAGGGGGGGGGGGTGGTTGTTGAGGGGGAAGATTATCTGACTCCAGGGTGCGCTTTCAAAGGTTAACAGGACTGGGCAAATGGTGGCGCTGTTTGTGGCGTCCTCTTTTCTCAAATTTTACACAATTTTGATTTTTGAACAATGATTTGGCCAAGAAAAAAGAGTTTTGGGGAAGTGTGGGGGGGGGGGGAGGGAGTGGTCAGGTATGCATGGGGGTTGGGCATTGTCACCCTAAGACACCCCTACGATAGACTTGTTATGATTTGTGGTCCATCATAGGTATCACAATGTCATTACGTCCAGAATCTCACACTGCGCATATCATTCCATCAGCTGTTTATGCTGAGTTAGTCACTTGCCACCAACAGAGGGCAGTACATACATCCACTGTATGGAAGATCACAAAATACAGGGATCATACGGAGCATGTACATGTACATGTACCGGTACCAGTACATCTTTATTATGAGGTCGTGCACTGTGTATCTTTATGGGTCTCAAAGTCAGTTTTACAGCAGAAGTCTTGTTTGTATTGGAATACAGTGGCTACATTTTTAAAGTGATTGTCATGTGTTTATTCATGCCTCAGTAGATGCAAACATACTCTGCAAAGCAACATTAAACAAGCTTTTATGGGCCAAATTTATTTATGCTTCACTCTTCATTAAACTTGAGTGTGTTTAGGCACTGCAGCGCAACAGTTACATTGGAATTGACATCCATATTGTGCTATGAAGGAATGTTCAGTGCACACCACAAGATGTGTCACTGTTGAATGTAACTCAAGTTTCGTAGAAAGTCCAAGACTGACTGAGTGATACCAGTAGCTCAAAATGTGGACTTGAAAACGCATCATTCAAGAACAATTTTAGCTTCAAGACAGCACGGACCATTTACTCATTTACTCACGTAACATAATCTTTGTTGACTTAGCAAACTATACCTTCTGAAAATACTTAACAAAATTATACATGACATTTACCCAAGGTCCACAAAACTTTGCCAAACACAAGTCCCCCCCCCTCCTGCATGAATATTCCACCATGGTTTAAATATTACAGTCCACAGTCTTGTGTTCTCTTCCCCTAACAGTCCATACATTTCCTTGCAGTACAGTATGCTTAGGTGATAACCCACCTGGTTTTCAGCACAGCATCCATATGCCTTGCCATGTGTGGCTTTGGCAGAAGTAGGTGCTAATCACCTGCATGACAGGTGTACGCTAATTGATGGAACTATGGGAACAGGTGGCCCACATTAGGGAGGCTAGGGGACCTGGATTTGGTTACTGTGTGAATTGGCAAATTGACTGCTTGATGTTAAGTAAAGTTGACACTGATACCTTGTCTTGTGAAATATGGACAAGTAAGACATTGGGTGTGTTTTATGTCAACTTTTCTCCCCCAGATTTTGTCAGCATTCTCTTGATTATTTCTGTGTGCTGAGACACAGTCTTGTTGGGGTCTTGTTTATCAAACCGTTGCATTGTTTCAGTTTTCATCTGCAGTCCTGACTAAGATTTGGGGCACTCTGGGAACCGTTTGTCACTTCACTTCAGGAAAATCAAAATCCTTCAGGCACATCCAAGTTCTTTGAACATGCTGAAAGGCACTTTTTGTTTATAATTGTGAATAGAAAGTGGTATGATGTACAATGTATGAGTGTTTTGACTTTCATAATTTATGTCATGTGTGGGATGTTTCTTTGAAAAGACGGAAATTGTATGACCACATAATGAATGATTGATCATATTAATCTTACGTTGGCAGGGTGAGTATTTTTACGGTGATCATATGGGGATTAAGTTTCCAAATTAAAAAATAAGGACTTCCTCATCAAACTTTAATGAAATTAAAGGGTAAAAAGTCATGTACAGTGTATATTACAATCATCACAGCCGATGGTACAGTCAAATTTTGTGAGAAAGAAAATAAAAAAAAGAATTGTTAACATTAGGCCGAGTAAAAAAATAAGTAGTTTCCTGTCCATTTTGAAAAAAATGAAGGAGGCGCGTGTTTTTTCCCCCTTTTTTCTCCCAAGATAGTAGATTTTCCAAGATGGCGAATGGCTTTATTGACTATTTTGCTGATATAAAATATTGTACAAAATATTGCTACTTAGCTACAATTTTGTTGGAAACAAATAAAAAATCAAACAAACATAAAGACAGTATACATGTATTGACAATATAATGTGCCAAATGAATTTAAAAAAAAAATGAAAAAAAAATGGGGCGGCCGGGAAAAAAAAAGAACGGGCGGGGACAAGAATATGTTTTTTTATTTTTGTATTTTACTGGGCCCTTAGTTTACTTTTTATTATAAAACACAAACGTACCAAAATATTTGTAAGAAAATTAAATTCTTAAAAATCCTGGACACTTCTCTAAAATCAGCTTTTGCAACTTGGTTTTCAAACCTGCCAAATCTTCCCCTAAAATGTCTCAGATTCTACATTCCATACTCCAGTTTTGTGCCTCACGGTGACCAAACCTTTGTATCACTACTGAAGGACCCACCACCATGCTTGAACATCGTCCCCCCTTTGGTCAGTAAATAAGCACCCTGAAGAAAAGCAAAATAAATCAACCATCCGTCCCTCCTGCTCATTTCTGCCATCACTCGCTACCCCCCCCCCCCCCAAAAATCTTGCCAGATAGAAATAACATGTGCACTGGTCCAAGGGGGTAAGGCCAGTTACCCAAATGCATTATAATGGGTGTTCAGCACCCCTTGCCTAGGGTAGAGGTGGGTTAACAAGGACCCCCATGACCCTTGTACAGTTGTATGGATCCGCCTGGCAGTTTTGGGAGTTTCCATGGAGATACGTGTCTGTCCAATGGTGTTTTACAACTTTTGGGAATTGACCTCAACGCAGCTTTGTGAAATATTGTCCGATGACATGATATTCAAATGGATGTGAAACGCGCAAAATCTGAGACAACAAAACTATACAAAATTTCTTAGGGTTGTCTAAGGGGCGTGGCTAACTCGCAAATGCTAAAGTTCAATTAAGTCACATTTTGGTGGTCAAGACTTGTAAACAAGTACACAAACATTTTCACTTAACTGCTTTTTTAAATCTAATATTAGCAGTTTTTATATTCAAAATAATTTTCATTTCTATATTCCATATTTCCATTACAGCAACAGCAGAGAGTAAACTTGACAAATTTGGTTTCTTCTCCTGACATACGGTACAATGTACATGTACCCAAATCAAAGTATTGAATAGTGGTGGGATTAAAATTCACATTTTTTGAAGTTCGGTTTGAATTCCACTATTCTGTTTGGATTTTGGAAACTGCATTTTGGAAACCGGGGTAGTGGAAAACAACTGGAACATCCCCCAGTTAGTACATGTAGCTCCATGGTCCCTGATTGTAACTGCATTCACTCACTAGTGCCGGGTAGTGGACTTCTTGGTTCATAAATAACCTGCCCATTCGTAGGCTGATCAGAGAGCTCCCATCACCCATTGTTTTTCGACATTACAGCTCTTAAGATTCTTTAAAGGCCCAGTGGTCAATCAATGCCACAATCTACATGTATACCAAATCATCGTGTACAGCATTCCGTGCCGCACCTCACTGGTCACATTTTGTTGGCATGACTGTGAGCTGAATGGGAACATCCTGTGAAATCAAATAACTGTTATTCCATTTGAAAAAAAAAATTAGGAAAACCTGATTTTGAAATCTCAGATTTCTCCCACCACTAGTATTGAATTATTTTCTCCATTTCTATATTTCCAATTAAAGGGAAAATACAACATTTGCAAACATCAAAAAATAAAACTACCAAATCATTTTGAAATACCTTGCTGGACTGTTAGTGAATGACAGTGTAAAGCATCCTGTAAATCATGGCACCTGGTATACTGTATCAATTTCCAACGCTGGTCGGCTGACCAGCGTTGGAAAAAACTGGCTTTTTTTCAAATACTGGCCCCAATTGACCATCGCACTTGTTTGCAATCGATTACACACCCATGAACGGGTACAAGCCAGCTAGACTGGTTCCCTGACCTTACAATTCCCCAATGTATGTAAACTGCTCTGTTTCTTCTTATATGGAGTCAGGGAACCAGACTACAGGAAAATGATTGTTTTTCTTGGTTTTTATAGCATTTTCGAACCCAAAACCTCAAAAAAGTCAGTGTAACTATATTTGCTATATATTTCCAACCCCCCAATTCCATCCATTTCTGAAAATTACAGCAAAAGCAAATGATGAATATTCCCTTGAAACGATAGTAGTAGAGAAGAAGTCTGACAAAATTGGTTTCTTTGTTCAACATTCTCAACTTAGTTACTTTTAATTCGATCAATTTTCCCCGTTTTCCAATCTAGCAACAGCAGAGAATACCTTACATCGCCAAACGTGCCATGTCCCCTCAGACCCACCATCCCATCGTCTGGCAGAGCCAAGCAGCCGCAGCAGCAGCAGCAGCAGCAGCAGCAGCCTCCCAGGGATGGACGCAATACTTCCCCCGACAGACCGTGGTGCCCCAGGGGTTACCCCAGTCCGTCTCCCCCCAAGGTGGTGCTAGATATCAACCCCAACCCCAGCCTTACCCAGCCTACACGTCACACACTCCTCCAATAAGTGGGGTAAGTACAACCGTTTCTTCTCGTAACCACACCAAACTCAAAAACAAGATCAAATTTATAGGATGCTGCTCCAAAAACTCTTGTTGAGTTTTACAGCTGGTTCATGGGTTTGAAGGCAAAGTATTTGCTCAGCTAATCTGCTAGAAGTTGAGCCACGGATCCTCTACACAAGGATAAATGACTCATCTGAGCTCGTGTACAAAATATACGGAACGGATTGTCAACATGCGTGATATGCCGCGTCCGCGCATAGAACAATGCACAGAACTGTAGAACAATGCACGCGTGCCATGATTGCCGACAGCTGGCGTTCTGACAGAAATTTGACCACGCGCCAAGTCTCGCGCACAGGCACGCATGACGCGCAAGTGCCGTATCATGCATCTAACCAGAAATTGGGGAAGTCGTTTATAAATCCTTGTGTAGAGGATCCGTGGATGAACACATCTCAACTCTGGCAAATTTCGTTGGAAAATTGTCTTCTCATTATAGCATGAACTGTCCTTTTTCCACTGACTCTTTTGTTAAGAGTTACAGTTGTTAACCTACAGTTGCAGCAGATCTGAGAGTTTCTTGTCAAGAAAGTATAATGATGGTTTGTGCTTGTCTTCAGAAAGTACTTTACAAACAAAGTGCATTGGGAGCTACATTGAATTAGTTTAAGGTGTCTCTGTAAAGCAACCTCATCTGCCACCCCAATACAATGTTTACAATCGATCCTGTTGCTGAAAAATTATACCTTTATTTCATTTTCCTAATAAGAGTACACGTGCAGTAATTTCTGCCTACCGGTACAAATCTTACAAGGCACGTCATCTGATTTCCCCTTCCCCATCTCTCACAGCAGAAGGAGCGCCCAAAAGTCATACCCCAAAAAATTATACCGATGCAATTTCCTTCATTTAATTCGCAGTTTTTTCCCCCCTGAAACTGTGAAAGTCACAACCTACTAACCCACTTGCTGTCCCCAGGCAGTGAAGGCGTATTTTACCCAGCATCTATCACGCAGTACCTGGTACATATAATTTTTTTTTAAAATCAAAAACAACTGTATTCAGGTAATGAGATCTTGTAAAAGATGCCCCGTGTTGAGCCTAGGGAGACAAGTACCAAATTGACGTCCTCTTCTTTTTTTTTCCGAACATATTTCGCTGCCCGCACACGTACCTTATATTGGTTTTGCTTGTTTCTTATCTGGTTTTTGGATCTGGCACGGAATGACGATTCGGTTGACATATCTCGAACTTGATATTATTACCTGAGGGGATTACATGTATGCGTACATCAGTGTCTGGCGAGGCTTCAAACAGAAGTGTCGGGATGGGTTTTAATTCTCGCGTCTCACAGATGGTTGATGTGTTTCTGTGGAGAAATCAAAATCTTGATCAGTTGATTTCATCAGCTTTTTGATGTGATGATGTGCCCTGTCGACGTGAACGTGTGACGTGCTGTTCAAAAAAAAGTGCCTCTTTTGGCCAAAAAAACATGTTTTACATATGTACCTTCACAGGGCTTGAAATAGACTTTTTAGCCTATCTTCATGAATCTCTCTTGGATATTTTGGTTACATGTTTAGATTTTCTTTCAGCGTTTTGATTCCCTGCTCTGCTTGAAGAATCTCATTGAAGAAAATGGGACTTGAGAAATTTGAAGAAAAAAAAAAATTATTGGCTTGGAATAAACCTAGGAAGTGTTCATTGGTAATTAATGAATCCATTCCTTTGAATTGAATGTTTGATTAATGTTTTGTTTCGTAGAACCGCAGCGCCATTCATGCATGCTGTTTAATTGTAAAGTGAAATATTTGGTATAGTAGAAGAAAGCAAAAAGGAGACACATTTCCTATATTATCTGTCTTAATCCGTTTGTTTCGTAGAACCGCAGTGCCATTCATGCATGCTGTTTAATTGTAAAGTGATTTATATTCGGTATAGTAGAAGAAATCAAATAGGAGACATATTTCCTATATTATCTGTCTTAATCCGGTTGTTTCGTAGAACTGCAGCGCCATTCATGCATACTGTTTAATTGTAAAGTGATTTGCGGTAGAGTATATGAAAGCAAAAAGAGACATATTTCCTATTACCTGTCTTGCTCCGGTCCTGGAAATATCAATAATTAATTCCACGACCCCATCAAATCCATCAACTCATGATTCATATCTCCATTTGATGTCTCCCTCCGCCTGAAAGATTTGTCAAGACCCGTCAAATTTACGGCACTAAATCTTGACAAACTGTGAAAGGTGGATGCCAAGTAAATTCTTACATTGTACATTAACATCACGCAGTGTTATTTTTGTGTTTTTAAATTGATTTTGGAGTTAAATAGAGAGAGGGAGAGAGAAAATATGAACAGAAGAATTAGAAATAAAAATATTTGTTTTATTTTCATTCCGAAATATGATCTACTGTGAATTGTGGATGCCTTGTAAATTCTTTTGTCAACATCACACACACTTTTTTTTTAAAAATTGAATCTGGAGTGAGTTGAAATTCAAAGACGAAGAAATAAATAACCAACAACTGAACAAGAAAATTGAGGAGACTTGTTTGCGTTGTAAAAAGCCTGCTTGCCGATGCCCGGGGTATTTTCTGATGCATCTCACCGCGTCTTGCTCTTGAGGTTCATGGAGTGGAGGTTATTTTTATCCTGAGCACAGTCTTGACCTGCGACGGTCTCTCTTCTGTCTGGCTTGTTGATGAGATTTTGTTCCGATGTGGATCTAACCACCAAAATTTGAAGACCGAATGAAAAAAACCCCAAAACCAAACAAACACGAAAATAAATAAGACTGCAACAAACTCCTTTCTGACAGGATGTATGTATATATACAATTCTAAAAAATTAAGGTATTCTGACGTTCTGATCTTAAAAAGATCTTCTACTTCTTCTTCATAATCTTCTTTTTGCCTCTGAAGAAGATCAACGTCAGGCCGCCCTGATTTTAAGATTTGAAAGAAAAAAAAAGTGAAATGTGAAACAATTTTGCAGAAATGTGGTAAATTGTTGTTGGGTCGCATTACTATTAAAAAAGGCACTGTGGAGTTGGACAATTTTGTGTGATTTCTTTTCCTTGTTCTTTCCCTTTTTAATTCTGCCAGGAGCAATTATAATCAGTCACCTTTGTGTAATCTTAATTAAAGTGTTGTTTTTTTTATACATAACAGTACAATTGCACAATATTGTGTGTTATAGTATCTTAAGTAATACTTTTTGAAGGATTAGGCCTATTTGAAGTTGTTGTTGCAGCCAAGATGGAATTATCTGTCTCGATTATAGTGGAGTACCCTACAATTATTTTGTCTACTACATGTATGTACAAATGCACTGAATTGAGTGATATGATATTTGTTTGTAGACCTGGCATATTGTGTGTGGAGTTGTTTCTATTTTGTGTGGATGTTCCTGGCCAAGATGGCTCTTTAAGATGGAGAATCATCCGACCCCATTTTTTCCCCAAACCTTTTTGGACAGTTACTGTGTAAGGGTAGCCGGAAGGTACAGGAGAACCCGCTTTTAACTCCTGACCCTGGCTGATGATTCTATTAATGCCCAGCACGTTTCTTGCCGTACCTGCACCGTCTCCGCGTATTACGGGGCTGGTTGGAACTGCGATGGCTTGTGAAACCCTCAAGGGGGGGGGGATGTTAGAATGTAGAGATACGTATCTCTGTCGTACTGATTCTCCAGCATATATTCGACAAGTTGCACAATCTGGGACTCTGATTTTCTTTTCAATGCCATCAATTCTGTGAACATTGACATGTATTTTTGTAACTTAATTTTTTTTTTTTTACGAAGCATCATGTTCACATTGATATTATTTTATTTCACAAATTTTTTTTAAATTTTTTTTTGGAGCATCATGTTCACATTTCTGTGAACATTGATATTTTATTTCACATATTTTTTTTTTAATTTTTTTTTTGGAACATCATGTTCACATTTCTGTGAACTTTGGCTCAATTTTTTTAAAATTTCCTGTGACATGAATTTCTCCTTTTTAAGGCCATTTATTGCGGGGGGGGGGGGGGGGGGTGTTTTTGCCTTGTTTTGTGCTTTGTACTACAGTGAAACGCTGCTATAACGAACACTGCTGTAACAAAAATTTGGCTATGATGAACATTCCCTTTGGCTCCACAAGTAAATTCTATTATAATGCACAGACACTATAACGAATGACCACTGCAAGGAACATTTTTAATGGGCCCCATCATGTTCGTTATAGTGGCATTCTACTGTGTGTGTGTTAAACTTGTGAATATTGATGAGAAATTAAAAGCAGGTTTTTTGTGTTAAATTCCATTAGAGACTCTGCGAATGAATGTTTCAGTACCTCTTGTTAAATTATTTGTGTTAATGCTAGATACTTCATTCAGTTTTCATGTGTCTGAAACAACTGCATTTTTTTTTCACGAGTGTTGTGTTAGGGACAACAGTGAATTTTGATTTCCAGCTTGGCCTCTCAGCATGCATTTAGGACCTACATGTATGATATTTCGAAAATTTAGCCATCGTCATTAGGCCAAAAAAAAAAGTCTCCGGTTTCTGGTATGGAGCTTGCCCAAAAAGTGGTGCGGCGATGCGGCTTTTTTTTTTTTTACCTGACTTTTTTGCTTCAAATGTCGGCTGATGACTGCAAATGGTACCCGACTAAACTTAGTGCAAAATGTACGGGAGTCCAGAGAGTCCACATAAAGCTTATTCTCGATCATACCCCCATCTAAAAACACGTTTAAACTGTGCTGCAGCAGAATTCCAGTCAAACCAGTGAGTTTGGCGGTTTTGAGACATCATCTTTTATTGAAAAAAAAACTTTTTCATTTTGCCGACGCGCATGGCTACGGCGACGCGCGCGCATACCAGAAACCGGAGACTTTTTTTTTTGGCCTTATCATCATTATCTTGAAGGATTCCTCAAATGAGCACAAGACGGAAGAAACTGTGGGGTACATTTATGTTATAACAAATATACAGTTACATGTAAGGATGTAAAAAAGGAAGAAAATTTGGTGTTGGAAGTAGGAGGAAAACTCCAGACAAACCAATATTCTAGGAAAACAAAAACAGAAACAGAAAGAGATGAAAACACGATGAAT